GGGGAATAGGCTTTCTGTGTCTGTGTCGTGTCTGTGTGCAGTGCAGGTGATAGGATGCGCACAGAGTGCGGTGAGATGGCATCGTCATAGTTTCGGCTGCTTAACCGCAACAACGCATAGTCGGTTCTGTGCCGTGTTTGTTCGCTGTATCACTGTATTGTCGGTCGCTTTCAACCAAGGCGGCGTCTAGTGACACCTGACAGGAGAAGGGGTAGCCCGGCAGCGGACAACGCTCGATTGACGTAATTGTCGTACCGCATCCAGGACGATCGCTAGCGAGGCTGGGAGCTTGGCAATGCTCTCTCAACTGGATTTGCGCCGCATGTCGCGAATCACAAGGTTGCTTTTCCGCCAGCTCGGTAATTTCCTTGGGCCCTTGTCGCGCATCCTTCACATGAAAGACGCGTTTCGAGCCGGACATGGGTGGGTGAAAAGTCTCACCTCACCTCACGGCCACGCCGAGCTGCATCACCGCCACGCAGCGAAAAGCCATCCGCAATTGAGGCTGGTGATGCAGCCCGCAGTGAAGTGTCAGGGTCCAGAAGCTGGATGCGCTCCGCTAAGCTGAAGGCGTTAGCGGGCTGGCTCGAGTCGCGCGATAGGACCGATTTGTGGAGTGTGCTTGGACCACGACGTCACACTAGAGGCTGGTGGACTCCTTGTATAGCGCCCGCAGTCCTGTTTATTTGTATGCAGTCCTAGAGCCTCCTCATTTCCTAAGAAGCATCTTCCCTTCGCGACTCCTTCACTCCCACCCCACGGGCACGCGACTGCCTCGTTGCCCAGCATGTCGTCCACCGTGAGTCCCCTCGCTATCGCGACAGCACCAGCATGAACGTGCGCTAACCATAACAAAGGGTGGTGAAGTTGGCAAAGCCCAGCAAGAATCCTCCAACTCCCTTTCCAGTTTGGTCTCCACCCTGGTGCCGACTGCTATTCTTGCGCTCGCCTTCGTCGTCGCTTTCCTTATCGCGCGCAAATACTTCCGCCGAGTCTATGCGCCGAGAACCTATCTCAACCATCTGGGGCAGCAACGACAGACGCCCGCGCCGAGCGGAGGCTTCTTAGGATGGATAAAGGACTTCAAGAACCTCAAGGACGAGTACATTCTCGACCACCAGTCCATTGACGGCTACCTGTTCGTGCGCTTCTTCAAGGTCCTCATCGTCACCTGTTTCCTGGGATGTCTTGTCACATGGCCCGTCCTCTTCCCCGTCAATGCAACGGGAGGGGCAGGCCAGGAGCAGCTCGATCTCCTCTCCATGAGTAACGTCAAACCCGAAGGCAAGAATGTCAACCGCTACTATGCCCACGCCGGAATCTCCTTCATCTTCCTCAGCATGGTCATGTGCATCATTGCCCGCGAGTCCTTCTACGTCGTCAACCTCCGCCAAGCGTACCGTCGTTCGCCATGGGGAGCCAGTCGCCTGTCTTCGCGTACCATTCTGTTCACCAACGTCCCAACGACCATGTCACAGTCTGCCCTCTTCGAGATGTTCCCCGGTGTCAAGCATGCCTGGGTCGCTTCAAACACGAAGGAGTTGGACGACTTGGTTGAGGATCGTGACAAGACTGCCATGAAGTTGGAGGATGGCGAGAATCAGCTCCTACGTGAAGCCAACATGAACCGCATCAAGGCAGAGAAGGGCAAGAAGCACTTCGTCGCCAGCGACGTATCTGACGGCACCAAGTGGATTGACCCCAAGAAGCGACCCACCCACAAGCTCAAGTTCCTGATCGGCAAGAAGGTTGACACTATCGAGTACGGACGATCTCACCTTGCTGAGCTCATGCCCAAGATCACCCAAGAGCAAGACAAGCACTGGAACGGCCAAGGTGAATTGGTCGGAGCCGTCTTCCTCGAGTTTGATACCCAGAGGCATGCGCAGGACGCCTGGCAGATGATGCAAAGCAGCAAGACCCGACCTGACAAGAAGCTCAAGGCACGCCAACTTGGTATCGTGCCTCAGGAGGTCGTTTGGGGCAATCTCAAGATCAAGCCCATGGAGCACCTTGCCCGCTGGGCAGTCGCTACCGCCTTCATCTCTGTCATGATCATCTTCTTTGCAATTCCCGGTAAGACCCATTATGCACATTTACAGAACTCAGCTAACGTATCCAGTTGCCTTTGTCGGTCTCATCTCCAACATCAACTACCTGGCTGACCGTTTCTCCTGGCTCGAGTGGATTCTGGACATCCCTCAGGTTATCCTGGGTGTTGTTACCGGTCTCCTGCCGGCTGTCATGCTTGCCGTGCTCATGGCCCTTGTGCCGATCGTCTGTCGCTTGATGGCGAAGTTGGCTGGATACGTTACATGGAGTCAGATCGAGCTCAAGACCCAGAACTGGTACTTCGCCTTCCAGGTCGTCCAGGTATTCCTTGTGGCAACCCTGTCCAGCGCCATCACATCCGCCATCAACCAGATCATCGACAACCCCGGCAGCGTGCTCACTCTGCTCTCTACAAGCCTGCCCAAAGCCTCCAACTTCTACATCAGTTACTTCATCCTGTTGGGTCTTTCATCGGCTGCCGGTACTCTGCTCAACATCGGAGGTTTCGTCGTGGTTGTGCTCCTGGGTCGCATTCTGCCTGGCAAGACACCTCGCAAGATCTTCGACAAGCTTACTAAGCTCTCGGCTCCATCGTGGGGATCTGAGTACCCAAAGTGGGTCAACTTGGCTGTCATTGGTATCACCTACTCTGGCATTGCACCTCTTATCCTCGGTTTCGCTACCATTGGCTTTTCGCTCATCTACGTTGCCTTCAGGTACAACTTCCTTTACGTGTACGAGACCAACCTGGACACGAAGGGTGAAGCCTACCAGAAGGCACTTCGCCAGCTCATGACCGGTATCTACCTATCTGAGATCTGCCTGATTGGTCTGTTCGCTATTGCCACGGCCAAGAATATCCAGGCCGTCGGTCCCTTGGCCATCATGTGCCTGCTCCTCTTCCTCACCATCGTCTTCCAGTTCACTCTGAAATTCGCTCTTAAGCACGAGGAAGCTCGCCTGGCCTACACCGACCCATCCCCTGCCCACGGCAGCGTCACCAACGGCCACCACGAGGACGGCATGCACACCCAGAACGGCGAGAAGGTCCACACCACCGATGCCACCCCCAGCTACGCCCCCAAGGCCACCCGCATGCCCGGCTTCCTAGCCAAGATGTTCAACCCCGAGAAGAACTCGATCCACAACCTCTCCGCGTCCCTCGACCAGTTCTACCACCACCCGCAAGAGCCGCTGCCCATGGAGATCCAGAAGCGCGCCTTCTTCAACCCCTCCGTCACCAGCCCCACACCCGTAATCTGGATCGTAAAGGACGACATGGGCATCAGCACGCGCGAGATGAGGGACACGCAGAAGACCGTCCCTGGACTCGTCATCACGGACGAGCAGGCTACCTTCAACGAGAAGGGCAAGGTGTACTGGAAGGGTGTTGAGGATGGCCATTCTCGCGAGGCACCCGTCTTCGACGAACGTATTGTGTACTAGTGGATGGTCTTCTTTCATTTCAGCTAATGAGGATGGAGTTCGATACCCAAAAAGGGATGAAACGTTTTTTCCTTGACTTGTTTTTGCGGATGAGCAGAGCAGCGATGGCGAATGAGGCGTGTATTTTCAATTCTATAAATGAGTACCCCTGCTACTTTAGCTGTATAGTTCCTAGTAATGATCACTGATTGCGACCTGTTCGTCGTAAATCATATTGCGTGTGTAGTAATTCTTTGTGATGTGTGTATTGGGTATCATGCAACTATGCTCTTCACTCAAAGGTGACGAGATTTTCAAACCGCGCCTGCCCTCCTCTTCTCCAAAATCTGCAACTTCAACCCTTCAGCCGCGACTTCAGTCTCCAGCACTCTTCCTACACCCTTCTTCCACGTCTCCTCGAGCGTCTTGAGCTCAGCACCCGCGCTATCCTGCTGCGCCCTCCTCGCCATCTCCACCTCTTCTTGCTGCTTGCCCAAACCCGCCAGCTCGGCCTCGACGCCCTTGAGTATATCCTCCAGCTGCGAGTTCCCCACCAACCACGCATTCTTCCCGAATTTCTCCAACAGCCCCAACTGCGTCAGCCGTCCCTGCACATACTCCGAGCTCGTGTACGCCTGCTTCAGCGCCTTGTTCCAGCGCTCCAACAACTCCGGCCTCTCCTCGTCGCTCGTCGGCGTCGTGCTCTCGGGCGCATCGAGATCCTCATAGCGCTTCAAATCGACGCCCGACAGCTTCGACGTAGGATGGTCGTCGAGGCGCGCATGCTCGCGCGTGATGAAATCGGAAAAGGTGGGTGTGTATTTCGTGGCTGCTGGTATAAGCGCCGGATGCATGTCTGTGGTGTCTACGCCCGCGGCTCTGATATCGGCGTTGATAGCGTGTCTGGCTGCGACCAGGCTCGCAGCTGAGAGCTCCGTATCGACGTCTACAAGTGGTTAGCGAGGCAATACGGGGGTTATCAGTCCAGATGTCGCGCGTGACTGGGCGCATCGGACATGGTTGCTGTGTTGGGGCAGGAGCAAATTGGACGTACAAGGGAGATGGTCGTAGGATTCCTGGATGAGGGGCATGGCGGGCAAGCGACGTGCAGCGGGCCGGGATAAGGGCGAGGTGGATGGCAGATGGTGTATTGGATGCGCAGGTGAAGTGGAAGGGTGTCGCGAAACTAGAGAAGCAGGCCTGCACGGGTAGATTTAGGCACTGATCGCGTCCGGGCTCCCCGCCAACCAGACGGCGAGGAACCCCGCAACGTCATGCAATGCAGGTGCCAGGCGCGACTGTCAAGCTTCGCGCTGCTGTGTGGCCAGCGGCGATACTTTGTCTCCCTGTCTATCTATCTTCCTTGCCAATCGACTGTACGCCCATGTGCAACCCTATACACCTACACGTCTGGCACGCGTAGCTTCCGGTGCCAGCAGTAGCGTACAAGAACCTCGCCGCGCCCCGTCCAACGGCTTCCACCTTCTTTCCGCACACTTCCGCCCAGACATCTCTTCGCGGCCATGGCGCGCTCACACATCGCAGTCGCACTGGGTGCGGCCCTGGTTGCCTCGTTGATCATCGCCCAGCTCGTTATCAACCTCGGATTCCCCGTCGTCGACTTCTGGCATGCGCGCCTCGATCAGACGTACACTGGAGCCCAGCAGGATGTCTTCAACAGTGAGAAGCAGGATGGAGGGCAGGCTGGCGATGCTTCTTCGTACCTTATCGGCGTTGGCAAGGCGGATATCACTGGGTGGGTGGCGAGAATACAAGATGCGACTGTACTAACGTCGCCACAGTCCCGTCGTCGAGCTTAACATGATGGGCTACGCCAACTCGTCGCAAATCGGATCTGGACTCCGCCAACGCCTCTACTCCCGCGCCTTCATCGTCGGCAACCCGGACGAAGCCAGCGAACGCTTCGTGTACCTCGTCCTCGACACACAGTCTGGAGACACTGCCATCCGAAATGGCATCTTGGAAGGGCTTCAGGCCATGGGCTCCGAATACGCTGTATACGGGAAGAACAATGTCGCCGTGACTGGCACGCACAGCCATGCCGGACCGGGAGCCTGGTTGAACTACCTCCTCCCGCAGATCACAAGTCAGGGTTTCGACAAGCAGAGCTATCGTGCGATCGTGGACGGAACACTTTTGTCTATCAAGAGGGCGCATGAAGGACTCACCCTGGGAACTGTTAGCGCTGGCAGTGCGAAGATTGCTGATGCGAACATCAACCGCAGTCTGTTCGCCTACCTCGCCAACCCCCAAGCAGAACGCGATCGCTACACAGACAATGTCGACAAGACTATGACACTTCTGAAGTTCACGAGAGCCAGTGATGGAAAGAGCATTGGCATCTTGAATTGGTTCCCTGTCCATGGCACCAGTATGCTAGGAAATCAGACGCTCATTGCTGGAGACAACAAGGGCGTGGCCGCATACTTGCTGGAGAAGGACATGGAGGCTAATGCGGCCGACTCAAATGCTGCCGAGGGCTTTGTGGCAGGCTTCTCGCAAGCCAACGTCGGTGACACGACCCCCAACGTACTCGGCGCCTATTGCGAAGACGGGTCAGGTCAGCAGTGCCGACTCAACGACAGCACCTGCGGAGGAAAGAGCCAGGACTGCCATGGCCGTGGACCCTTCTTCGGTCTGGACGACGGAGGCCACAAGTCCTGCTACGAGATCGGCAGGCGCCAGGCCGAGGGTGCGAGGAGCATCTACGACTTCAATGCCTTCACGCCCATCTCCGGCAAAGTCCGCTCGTTCCACACCTATGTCGACTTCTCCAACTTCACTTTCACCCTTGGGAATGGATCCGTCGTCCATACATGTCCCGCAGCCATGGGTAACTCCTTCGCAGCCGGCACATCAGACGGCCCCGGCGCATTTGACTTTGTCCAGAACGACCCCGGTGCGCCCTCAAATCCCTTCTGGAACCTCGTCGGCAGCGCCATCGCACCACCAAGCAAAGAGCAAAAGGAGTGCCAGTACCCCAAGCCCGTCTTACTGAACGTCGGCCAAGCCAACGTACCATACCCCTGGTCCCCAAACATCGTCGACATCCAAGTCCTGCGTGTCGGCCAGCTCGTCATCATCGTCTCCCCCGGCGAAGCAACAACCATGTCCGGCCGCCGCTGGCGCGAAGCCGTCCACAACGCCGTCGTCTCCTCCGACATCGCCACCTCGCCCATTGTGGTCCTAGGCGGCCCAGCAAACAGCTACACGCACTACATCGCCACGGAAGAAGAATACGGCATCCAGCGCTACGAAGGCGCATCCACTCTCTACGGGCCCCACACCCTAAACGCCTACATCAACGCCACACTAACCTACCTCCCCTACCTATCCGACTCCTCCCTCCAACCCCCTCCGCCCGGCCCCTCGCCCCCGGACAACCGCGACAAATCCATCTCCCTCATCACCGGCGTCGTCTACGACGGCCCCGGCTTCGGCCGCTCCTTCGGCCAAGTCACAAAAGACGTCCTGCCCACATACGCCCGCGGCGCCACCGTCTCCGCGACGTTCGTCGGCGCGAATCCGCGTAACAATCTCCGTCTTGAAGGCACGTTTGCTGCTATAGAGAAACAGAGCAGTGATAGTGATGGTGATGGTGGTGGGACGTGGACGCAGGTTAAGAACGACGAGGATTGGGAGGTCGTCTATCAGTGGAAGAGGGTGAATGGGCTTACGGGCACGAGTGATGTGACGATTAGTTGGGATACGGCGGTTATGGGGGTGGAGAAGGGGAGGTACAGGATTAGGTATTATGGGGATGCTAAGAAAGTTGGGGGAGCGGTTGAGGAGTTTGAGGGGGTTAGTGGGGTTTTTGAGGTGCAGTGATGGGGTGTGATGGAGGTGATGGGGTGGTATTGTATATGAATGTTATGTGGATATGTGGAGTGGGAGGGAAGTGGAGTTTATACCCGATGATGGTTCAGAGAACGAATGAATGTTATGTTGCTTCTCAACTTTGGAAGTGTGACATTGCATATGAAAGGGGAAGGGGATGAAATCACATACGATGTTTAGTCAGATGTATCACCATTATCAGCATGCTACATCATGGCTACTACATGTGTTCATGCTACGATGTGTCTCGTCATCATCTCACCCTGACTATCACAATACATTCAGAGTTCGCATACATCTCTCTCACGATGGTTGTTCTTTGCTGGCACGTGCACCCTCGCAGTCCTTCTCCAAGCTTCGCAATGAGTATCATCGACAGACACACACGCTTTCCTCGTCATTCCTCACACCCTCCGTGCTATTCCTCGTTCTCAAACTCCATATCTTCGTCTTCAACCTTGATGAGTTGTCTAATCGGTAGATCACGAAGTCCCGACCAGCCTGTCATGCCGACCTCCTGCTCGTTGACCTGATGTGAGTCACTATGCACTTCTTCACTCTTTTCCTGCTCCTTCTTGAGCGCTTTCTGCATCCTCCTAAACATCGCCCTATCCTTCCCTTGCTCCCTCGCAAGCTCTTTCTCCAGAGCCTCAACATCGCCGTCGTTGTTATCGGCGGCGCGGGTATCGCGTATGGCGTTCTCGCCCTCCCGACACGCTTCTTTTAGTTCCTGCTCCAGCCGTGCTATATCCGCTCTTATGGCTGCTATGTTACGTGTTTCCTTGGTCATAACGCTTGGCTCGGGTTCTTGATGAGGTGGCGAGGTTTGTGTATTCGGTGCACCCACTCTTTGGCGCGCTTTGAGGTCTTCTATCATCTTGCGGGTGTCATCGAGCTCCTGGTTGATTCGAGAGTTCCGTGTATCAACGATGCCGGGCTGGTGGCTCATGGCTTCGACTTTTCGTTTTTTCTCTGCTAGGTACACTCTCTTTGGTAGTCGCTGGGGGTCTCTTTGTCTGCGTCCTCGTTTACCGGTGGAACGGTGGATCTCTCGAAATCGATCGCGTTTATTCTCTCGTCTATAGGAAGTAAGAGTGCCCTGTTGATGTTGTAGTTAGTATGTGCATTGAGAGACGACAGTGCGCCATTCGGTGAGCTTGTCCGTAGACTGAGCGCACTCACCTCGCCAGATGATCCGGCTTTGGGTACGACAGCGGGAACGCGCTCGTCGAGGTCTTGCTCCTGCTTTAGCGGTATCCAGTTATCGAGCTCGTCATCTTCCTCCTCATCCTTGACTTGTGTTACGTACTGCTGATACTGTTCCATGATAGCTGGGTCGCCGTTGCGAGTTAGGGCTGAAGTGGTGTGGAGAAGTTCAGATTGTATAAGCGGGGTGTTGTAAGGTTACCTAGGTAGCAAACGTGCACGTGGCGAAGTTCACGAACGAGGAAAGAGCGAAGTGAAGGTGAGTGCGCCGCCAAGGAGGTGCGCAAACGATCAGACACATCGCGGGTGACTAGAATAGTATAGCCTAATGCAACGTTCAAGCTATGATAACTTCTGTATAAGAGCTTCGCCTCATTGTGCAGCTTTTCGCATATGTCTTGCGTTGCTCGCTATCAGTCATCCTCCATCAACTCTTCATCCTTGATGAACACTTGTTCCATGATCTCTTCGTCCTCGAGTATCTCTCCTTCCTCAAGCTCCTCTTCACTCTCCTCAGACGGATATTCCTCGAAACCAGTAAAGCGGTATAACCGATCCGCAACCTCGCGCAACCGCTCTTCAGCCTTCCTCCTTTTCCTTCCTTCCGCTTTCAGCTTCTTACCCTGATGCTCTAGGTTGAGCTTCAACTCTCTATTACGAGCCTGTTCAGCTGCAACGTTGTCCCATAGTTGCCTTATCACTTCCTGGTCTTCCACGTCTTTCTTGTGCTCGACGCTGTTGTTGTACGCTTCAGCGTTGCGCTTTGTGGTTTCGACCTCTTGCTGCGTCTCCTCAAGTCTCTTCTGCAGTTGAAGATTCTCAAGCAACAGGTGCTTGATAGTGCCAGGCTTCTTTGGAGTGGTGATAGCCGCTTGGGTGAAGATGAGGTTTCTCTCAATGTCTTTCATTCGCTGCGCTGAGAAATCGTCGTGAGCCTGTCTGAGCTCCGTCTCGAGACGTTTGATGCGGTTTTTATCCTTCGTTGTCTGTCTAACTCGATTGGCTTTCCTGTTGTTCTTTCGCTGGGTGGAGATCATGTCGTCCTGATGATGTAGGGTTAGCGCATGCTATCAGATATAGTATTGTGTTGATGTCACGAGCTCTTTGTGGAAGCAGGCGTACTTACATCATCGATAGGCTCGACTTTGGGGACGACAGCGGGGAGGCGCTCCTCGGAAAAGCACTCTTGCTTCACTGGTACCCAAATTCCGAGCTCATCATGCTCTTCCTTGATTCGTACCCCGTGCTGCTGATGCGGATCCATAGTCGTAGAGGCGCCGTTGTGGCAGAGGATTGAGGTGGTGTGAAGGAATCAGAACCAGAGACGGGGTGCTGGTGAGGTGAGCGAGCGCGCACGTGGGAAAGTCTTTTTGTTGAGGAAGGAGCGAGGTGAAAGTGAGTGCGTTGCCGAGGATGCGCAATGACGAGGTCACATTGGAGGCAGGCGCCAGCGGAAGCGACGAAACCTCGAAGTCTGCAAATGTCCACGACTAAAAGAGCACATCACAATGCGAAGTTCAAGCCATGATAATTCAATGCTTTCAAGTGCGCTGTAGACCGGTCCCCCAACCCACACCATTGCGCCAACCCAAAAAGAAACTCGTAATATCATCCCACTACCCCTCCGTCAAACCACTAATCCACAGTCCCCCACTGCGGCGGCCCACCCTCAATCTGTCTAACCTCCTTCTGCCTCTTAACATTCCTCTCATAATGCTCCTCCTTCTCCTTCAACATCCGCCTCTCCACCCCAGCCCTATGCTCCAACTCCTGTTTCCGCTGCTCAATCATCTTGCTCTCAGCCGCCATAGCCTCCCTGAGCTTCCTTTCCTCCGCAGCCGCTCGTGCAGCAGCGGCATCGCGCTCTTGCTCTTGTACCAAGTTGTGCCAAGCCACTCGTTCAGACCGCTTCATACGCTCCGCCTCCTTTACGCGGTGAACTTCGAACTCGTGTTTCTGCTGCTCCAGGGCGGTGTAGTGTTGTGTTGCTTTGGTTTGGAGTTCTAGTTCGACGGTTTGGCTCTCGCGCTTTCGTCGGAGGATGTCTTTGTGGCTTGTTTCTTCGATCGTGCGAGTGTGCTCGAACTTCTCCTTTTCGTGGCGGATGGAGAGCTCGTGTTCCTTTTGCTTATCTACGAGTTTGGCAATCGCGGGTGGGATGCCTGTTGCTCCAACGGGTTGGAGTGCCGACGAGGAATAGTAGACTGGAACACAGGCCTTGTCGCGCAGTAGATCGAGTAGGGCCTTTCTGACGGGAGCGCGGGCGGGTGTAGCGATTAGCTCGACGTAGGAGTAGGGTGAGTAATGGAGGCCGGAGGCTGCGTCGCAGTAGACGTGTGCTTCATCGTTGAGGTCTTGCCATATCTCCGTCTCTAGCAGAGCCTCTGTGATGGGAAGGGCGCTGTAGGCATTGTCGAGTGCGAGGATGACACTAGATTTCTCGTTGCGAGCGCGGAATTTGGGGTTTACGCGCTTGGATAGGAGAAGACGCAGTAGCTGGCGAAGCTTCGAGCGATGCGCGGATGTCGAGACTCTCGCATTCAGACATATCTCCCCAAGGACATTCCTACCGCCATGGAGACGGGATGGGTAGTTTGGATCGTGAGCATGCTCCAACAAGGCCTTCGTGACCTCGACGTTGAGTTCCCTGGCTGACTCATGTAGTGCACCATCATTTGCTAGCGAGCATGGCGCTAGTATCTTCACTGTGGCTTCCCCAGACCAACTGCTGCTAGCGTAGAAGAGTGCGGATTTGTTCCAGACATCCCGAAGATCCGCATCCGAACCCCGCACGACTAGTGCATTCACTATCTCATGACGCCCCTCACGAGCGGCGAGCATAAGTGCCGTAGTCTCCGAAGCGGCAGAAAGTCGGTCAACGGATGCTCCAGCTTCCAAAAGGGCGGAGATAACGGCGTCCGAAATGCGCTTTTGTGGTTGAGCTAATGCCCAAAGCAGTGCGGGCACAGTTTCGGGTCCGCAGGACGAATGGAGAACCGTGGGGATGGTTGTTTCCGGATTCAAGCCGTGCTTCAAGAGTAGCGTAATGAGCGCGCTATTGCGTGGGTACACAGTCATGGTGGTGATGAGTATCGGTGGCTTATTATAGCCGACACCGAGCTGTTCAAGTATGCAACCGTGATCGAGGCATGACTGTATTGCGGCAACGACTACTTCGTCTTGGAGCTTGGAACTCAATAACGCTGGAACGACGACGTTGAACTTGGGGTTGTGACGCATGAGCTTCTCAAAGATGGTGTGACTGTGCTTTTGTGCTGCGAAGACGAAGCATGCCCCATCCGCCGTATTGACATCCGCGTGATATTGAAGCAACAGATCAATCCATGGCTCCGTATACTTACTATGCTCGTTGCTGAGGACTAGTCGCAGAGCTGCATCGATGGCAGACTGTTCCACTCCACGGGCCAGTAGTTCTTGTGCCATTTCACCAATGCTCTCTTTCTTTCCTTCCAGCATCAACTTCTCGTCGGTGAACAGTGTACGGAACGACCTCGTGACGTTAGATCGTGATGGTTGGTGACGTCCACTGAGTATTAATGCCATTAGCGAGCTGTTTCCTGAAGCTACCGCAACACTCAACGCTTCGCCATCGTTGTGACTCACAGATGCTCCTTGTCCCAACAGCAACCTGGTACTGGTTGTGTCATTTGTGGCAACGGCCTGTCGTGTCTCCGCGGCAAGGGCTTGGTCCAGAGCGTCTTGTGGTACTCCTAGCTTCAGTAAAGCATTCAGTATTGGTGCCTTCATGTGAGGATCTTCAATCGCTGTCGTGTACTTGAACGCGGTGCTTAGCAGTCTAGGGCTGGCAGTGAGCAGCCGCTCGATGATATCAATGTTGTCGGGGCCGCCATTGATGGCAATCTGTAAGGTCTGACTGGCTGGCACTTCTTCAATTCCATGGTTCAGAAGCAAGTCAATGATCTCGAGTGTTTTTGAGTGTCTGCCCGCTCGTGAATCAAATGCTAGAGGTAGGGCTGCCGACGTCGCTGAGGAGTTGGGTCTAGTGTTGCAGAGTAGACGCAGAAGAGAGATGTCGACTTGTGTCACTGCGAGCGACAAGGCTCTTTCGTCAACATTTGCACCTTTGCGAACGAGGTCTGTTATCAGGGCCCCATCCCGCCCAGCCGACGTGTCCGCAATTGCATTGACTAGAGCTTGATCAACACCAGGACCACTTGCACCGTGCTCTAGTAATAGCCGCGCAATTTCACGTCGCTCCGATACCGAGATCCCATCAGTACGGAAGATGAGCGGAAACACGTTCGCTAGGGTCTCTGGTGCGGGGCGAGCGTTGAGAATAGATTTTAGGGTTCGAAGGTCTCGATTGACCACTGCAAAATGAAGTGCGCCGTTGTCGCCCGAGTCGACAGGTGCGCCAGCACCAAGAAGGAGGTCGATCAACTGAGTGTCTTTCTCCTTGGTGGCTTGCGTGAGCAATCGACCAAGAGGCGGACCTGATGCGCCTTTCTTTAGCAAAGCGTCGACTACGCGAAGTCTATCTGGCTGTGGGGTGTTGGTCGGTAAAACAGCCAGCGCCGATGTCGCATGCTGAGGGGCGATGGACGTCTGGAGGATGGCATCCACTAAGCCCCAGTTTGAGTTTTCGATGGCCTCTCTCAGACACTCTGCATCATCAGCCGTGGTCGGTACACCATAGCTGACCATCATCTTCGCGCCAGCAGTGTCGTTGCCTCTTGCCAGACAGATGAGGAAGTCCGGTAGACCACGACTATCGGGAGGTAGCCCACAGCAGAACAAGAGCTGTAGGAACTGCAGCGTCGCTTGCCGCGTTGGTAGCCTCATGGTAGTGTCGAGCGCATGTTGCAGGTTCGGTTCGTTAAGACGGATCGGGCCAGCGACCAAAGCGATGGCCAGCTTGTAGGCCTGTCTTCCAATCGCCATGTTGAGAGCGCTTGCGGAGTCGAAATTCGGGTCAGCGCCGTATGCTATCAGCAGAGATATGACAGCATCCGAGCCTTGCTGGACCGCTGCAGGTAAGCAAGAATTAATAATCTGAGCACGCAGTGGCTTTGGTGCTCGCAACAGAAGCTTGACAAAGTTCAGGTCGTTCGATCGGACTGCATTGGCCAAAGCATTGG